AAAATGGGTCATTTTTGACGATTTTGGTGGGCTATAGTCCATGCATTTGGTCGAAAATGGGTCATTTTTGACGATTTTGGTGGGCTATAGTCCATGCATTTTGATCGAAAATGGGCCATTTTTGACGATTTTGGTGGGCTATAGTCCATGCATTTTGATCGAAAATGGGCCATTTTTGACGATTTTGGTGGGCTAAAATCCATTGATTTTGCTATATATAGTCCATGCCTTTTGATCATGTTGATGTTAGTGGATGCAAGGATTTGTATGTTTGATATTTTATTAAATGATACAATGGGTAGAATTCCATTATTTTACACCATACATTTATGTTACTTAAAATTATTGAATATTCTCTAGCGATGTTACGTATTAACTTCTATCTGGTGTTCCATCACAGGTATTTAGCATATTGGGTTTTATAAAACAGCTAAAATAGTGACGAATTGATAAAAAAAATTGATGATCACAAAGACAAGTATGCCCCTCAGTGATTTGTCTATTCTGCGTAAGTGAAAAGCTTGTTATGATGACCACTAAAATGACTAGTTGAGCTTATAAAGAGGGTCCGCTCGCCTGCAGTCGAGTAATGTTTGTCACAAAGAGTTCAAGTTCTTATTCATAGTGGASAGAGCRTCACTTAAAAGAAAAGTCTTYRTRTRGATTCTTCCAAMAAYGACGTCATGTTGTTTTCGCGAAATGCATCATGGTATTCAAGATGGCTGACGCCTTATAAAAAACTATGAAAACCAGAACATACTGAAAGACGAAAAATCRTGGAAAAGATATCAGGAAAAGAAAGCATGTTGTTTGTTCTCTAGTCAATCCCATAGTGCATTTCGGAGAGCATAGCATGACGTCATTGGGGAAAAGAATCAGTAAAACTTGATTGCGATGTCTTTGCTCACTTTCTGCAGTAAACAGCAACGCTTTCAATCTCAGCGATGTCGTACAAAACACGGTCAGCGTAGTAGTTTGCTTTRCCCAGTAAGAGATCTTTGTTGAAGATTTGGTTAAAAGCCTACGAAAACAAACACATATAATGTCATTAAAACATAGATAAACACCTTAAAACATCCTATAAAATTGACAGCAGATTGATTAACTGTTGTTTCTGGTCAGCGGTCTCACCTCTACGCGTCTAATAATAATAAATAGAGGATATTACATGGGCGCGCGGAGATACGGATTTTATCTTCGAGTGTTGAAAAGATTTTCAACACGAGAAGATAAAATTTGTATCTCCAAGCGACCATGTAATATTCTGTTTATCATATAATTAAATATGAAAGCAAGTTATGTCTTAAAATACCTTTTTTCTTTCTTCCACTATATAGAGAAACCTCGAATGTGTTATTTTCACTAGTGAAAATAACATGTTATTTTCACTAGTGAAAATATCAATTTTACGTAATGGAGAAATATAAGTATTTCATAGATAATTATATGATAATGCTGTTTATTAAGGTAAGTAATGATAATACACTAATACAGATAATGCAGTAATGATAATACTGAATTACAGGCTTAACATATACACGGAAAAGGGCTAAACACTAGACCAAAGGGAGTTTGGGTAAACTATCATGCATGTCAGTACATGAACAATATAGGGGCTGAAAATTCAATTTGTTTTAACCGGCTGCACAGGAGTCGACGCTTATCGAATTTTGTTCCTATTTGTTAATTTTCAAACGTTAAAAAGCTTCTGTCAATAATCCATTTCGGTCTATAGTATCGTTGGCCTGGGTAAGAGCGTCGTTTATGCCTGTATTATAACCAATACTGGTCTAATTTACCTTCGCTATAGTATCGTTGGCCTGGGTACTAGCGTCGGTTATGCCTGTATTATAACCAATACTGGTCTAATTTACCTTCGCTATTTTCTTGATCCTTTGTAGTACTGTTAATGCTTTTGCAGTGTCTTTGGGTTTCAGATTATTGCTGTCGAACAGACCATTGAATGCCTTGAATAAATTAGTAAGAAAACGATTAACACCTTCTCCGCCAAGGGACTTGATCCTAGTGTCCATTCCCTTGACCCAGGCCTTTACGCTGATCATGTCTTGTTTATGAATTGTCTTGCTGCTTTTGTCCATCCATTTCCTAACACCTGAAAACCAATGATAGGTGATTAATACTGAAGTATTCTTACAATTACAGTCCAGGCGGGAAAACCCTCGAATCTATGTGTAAATTGATTGTTTATTTTATTGTTTTCTATGATATGAACGAGGCTAATCCCGCCTGGACTGGAATTTTAAGAACATTCAATATGGATGAATAAACAAATGAATGGATGAAATGAAACGAATGGATGGAAGAATGAATAAATGAATTAAGAAATAAAAAATGAGCGAGTAATGGGATAAAWATAGATGACATAACGAGGGGTGAGGGGTGCATCTTACCGTTGCTGAGGAAATTCAAACTTCTCTCGATCTTTGCCATTTGATCTTTCGTTCCAGAYACACGCTTGGCTATTGAGACAAATACACATTAAAAAAGTCAAACAAAAAATGATGCAGAAAAACAAGTCATTAAAGCTCGATCTCGACTTCGACAAGCATAAGGTAAGCCGTAGGAAAAGGGAATTAAGTAAAAAAAAACTGAATCAAAATAACAACACATGTTATCACAAGCGCAACACAATGAACAGTTATTGTGGTTACGCTTAAGTGTGTTTTGTTTGTCAGTAGAAATTATGCTTCACAATGCGTAACAATGACAACCAACCTTTGACGCACAACGAAAGGGCGGATACAGGGAGGGGCAAAGGGGAGCTGTAAACTCCTCCCCCTTTGAGCGTAAAAAGTTTACATATAAAGGCCATTTAGCCCCCCTTAAAATTTCAGCTGGATCCGCCTTTGCATCGAAACATAAAAACATGACAAACAAGCCACCACAAAAGCACACACACCAAGTTTAATTTAACGATTCAAATCAAGTGATATAAGATATGTCATGGTGACTTACCAGAGGCCTCAAGTTGCTTAGTAACCCGCCGTAGTTTTCTTCTAAAMGTATCTTTCTCCTTGGCAAACATATATCGTTCGTACATGTAGGACGCRTACATGTGTTTGACTGTCTTCATCATATCACGGCAAATGTTCAATAACTGATGGTACGTCTTACATCGACCTTCTTTTGACACTGTTTAAAACAACAACGATATATTGATAAATATTGCACTGACGCGAGGAATATGACATGCCTGACACAGTCAACTCTCGACACTTTACAGGAGGAGCCAACGGGGTCTGTTCTTCTAAATACTGACTGTTCTTTTGCGAATTTTTTCCTGGCAAAGGGATTTTGAGATACATTGTTGAAAATCGTACAAGAAAATGTGTCACCCTTCCTTCTTTAAAATAATTTTATTCCTTGCAAACGTTTTTATGGTCAAAAACGGCTTATATTTTTTTAGTGAAGAAATTTTTGTTTATCTGGTAAAAATTCTTAGAAAGTATGCCTTTTCTGGAGAGTTCGGCAACCAGTTGTCACTTACAACTGGCTGGGACATAAGAACAGATATTTTTCTCCCAGGAATACGTCRGCTCCTCCTAACTTTAACACATCCCCTCTCCGAAAGACTCTTAACTACGGTCGCGATCGYTATAACGAGGGYTGACTGTATCAAATATTTCTACCAATCAGATCCTGTTCTCACCTGGAATCTTCCATTTTCTTTTCAACGTTGCTTTAGACATCGCTGGATGATTTGCAACAGGTTTTTTGTCATCCTCTAGGGGGTCATGCTCGCTGATCAGGTCCCAGAACGGTTCGATAGTCTCGTTRGCATGTTCTTTCCAATCRCCTTTCTTCTCCGWCAACGACCKTCTTCTTCGCTTTGGAGCKTCGGGCTGGTAAAGAAACGTAGTTTAACGTAAACARAATCGGCCRTKTTSATGTGACTTTARATATCCGTAATGCCCCTACGTAGAGGTACGCTATTACAATGTAATACGCRAGTATTTACGTTGAGTCTCAACGTAATCTCTTACCTCATCATCGGCTGGCAATTCGTATCTCGCACCAGGGTCTTTCTCTTCGCTCAACAAACTCCTCCTATGTCTCTCTGATGTCACATCCGGGAATAGCGTATTTGCTACAAACTGAGCAAGACTGGGCACCACATCCTTATTTAGACATGCGTCGAAAGGATACGACTTCRCGCCCGTCGAGGTACTAGTGGTGAAGTTAACACGTACGGTCACGCAGCTTGACGCAAGGGATTCTAACGGAGCGTTGAAGCACAAGCTTGTAACGTTGACTAGATTGTCAAGTCCGTACTGTTTGATGGCTTTTGAGGCAGAAATACCAGTAGACGAGTCGTGGTCAATTAAAGACAACGCCTTCCCAGCTGCGTCTAATACAGCCTTGGTTTTACCCTTGGAGAACTCAGCATCGAAKAGCTTCTTTGTGAGTGAGTCTACTCGCGTCTTGACGTCTGCAAGTATATCCTGATTGATAATATAAAAATATTAATTACTACTAGCAACCACGTGACGCGAATCAAATTATGCGAACTGAATGTCATTTACTAGTGCTTTATCAAATTAACGGTCGACGTCAAAATGAACGACTTCTTACCCTTGCATCGTCAAGGTTCCCCTCCGCTACCTTCCTGATATGTTGACATCCATGGTTCTTAGCAACACACACAGGGTCCCCRGTCYTGTAGCAGCATTTATTCCATGAMGGACACTCGATACAGTTACCAAACACGTCATGAGCACAGCAGCGATTCCAGTCAGGACAACCAATACACGCTGAAACAAGAAACATTACCCTTAATATGAACAGTATTTCATGGTGATGACGTTATGAAGAAAGAAGATGACGTCATGATGATTGTATAATGACGGTAAGATGATGTCATAATGATATCACGAATATGACGTCACGGATATGATATCAAGCTGACGTGATAATGAGGTCACGAAGATGTTCACAATAATGCGATAAAGATGATGATGATGATGATAACAGTGTTGTTGTTGATGATGATGATGATAACAGTGTTGTTGATGATGATGATGATGATAACAGTGTTGTTGTTGATGATGATAATAGTAGTTTGACTTACCTTTTTTGCAATGACCAAATTTACAACTCGTATTAAACTTCTCCTCGGATTTCCAGACATCCTTTTCTCTTTTCCTGTACAAAGCTTTCTTCTTGTTCAGTTTTTCTCTCAGCAAACTCTCAATCGAGGTTGACTTACGATAATACACTTTAGCTTCTCTTAGGTTGTCATGCGCCTGCGCAATGAAGTTGTCTGCCTCGTGTGCGGCTTTTCTGAGTTCATTTTTTGCGCCCATGGTGACATTTTTCTTAATGCTGTCCAGACATCCATAGGCCTATAGTGGAAAGAATAGAGTTAATGAAATTACAGAGGAAAAATGAAATGAAAGAATGAAAGAAAGTGAAAAATAAATTAGCGAATGGATGGATGGATGGATAAATGAATCAATCAATAAAGGAATAAAAGAGAAAAATTAATGAATGAAATGGATGAGTAAGAGATGAAAGGACGACACGAACAAGAAGTGACAAGTGGGAAGGATATAATGAATGAAACGAAAAAAAGGGAAAAGTAGGAAAATTATAATGGAACTCGAGCCACTCACCAAAAATTGTGCGGCTTCAGAGGAACTCAAGATATCATGAGACGAGATCAAAAACCCAACATCATTGACGTCGAAAAGCTTGCCATAAACAGGAAACCCTGTTCCTTTATCCGWGATGTCCACATTGACTGGAGTAGAAATCCCAAAGACCTTTGCGTAGCCAAGAAGCTTCATCTGGGTACCCTGTGGCGTGATTTGGACGTGAAGTTTGGGACCTCCAGTGGAGTTTTCCTTATTTTTCTGGATTATAACACTGCCTTCGGAGATAACAAAGGGACTTTTAGAGTAGTCAGTGTCAAGAACTAGTGCGCTTGAGTTTTCCATCTTCATTACTGTATGAAAATCTTTCTCAAACAAGTGCATTTTTCCAAACACGAAGAAGTTTGATCCCTTGTCAATGGAAGTATCATAGACGGCTTTAAGACCTTCAGGAAACTCCGCATTGCTCAAGACCTTGGGAATCGTGATGTTTGACATTACTAGCGCGTTCACAAGCTCTTCAATTCTCATGTGTTTCAAAGTCGCTTCAAAACGACTTTCGTCTGGGTTTGACGGTTGATAGTTGATGAGCGCATCTGCTGAGCGGAAAGCCGCTKTCCCAAGTGTTCCAAGGTTCATTCGTCCKSTCATGCGCAGATCYTTCAGAGGYAGAAGTTTCATCATRGGCGCTGAAACCCGGAGATTATCGAATTTAATTTTGCCACCTTTGATTTGGCGGTAGATAGAGTCGGARCTRTGCATGTCAAGGGAYACCGTATCGTTGTCGAAGTCAATGGAACCAAAGAACGTAAGGTTTTCYCTGGGTAGCAATAGTTTACTGTGGATCATAAATGAGGGKTCGTCATCGATACTGAAATCAAGCCGGTTATCTGTAAGCATCAAGCTATTTCCTATCTGAAAATTTCGTTTGATTTTTCCATCCAAAYTGAACCCATCMARCTTAATAAGRCCCTTTATTCGATACCACTCATTACTTTCCAACATTGTACCAGTATTCTCACACAGYCGCGATCCTTCACAGTCCTCAGGGACACGAATYARCCCTACTATTGACATCCCTCGATCAAACGACAACCCAGACAACATGGCACTGGAGAAGAGTGACTGGTCTTCCTGTGGTGATAGAACTAAAGAAACATTGTAGCTGTTTTTRAGCATGCTCAGCTTSGACGTRTCAAAACCAGAGACAGCATTTATAAGAGAGTTCATAGGAATTGTGGGAAATATGAACCCGACCGCTGTGTTCAGCTTGCCGTTGACGTCATAGAGGACCGCCTCTGCCTCGGTCAACGTCTTCACTCCAGGAAAGTGTCCTTTTCCAGAAATATGAATGAGCCTTTTCCTGTCCGTTGGCGAGTAGGACGAYTTRATGGTTGGATTTGTGAAAAAGAAATCGTTCATTTTTGTACTTTGAACGATTTTCTTGCTCTCTTCGTCAGGAATGAAAGATATTCCGTGTTCCTGTGARAGCTCCATGATTGAGAGCTTCTCCGATGTTCCTTGGAAGTACAACGTCTTTGCTTCCTCGAAGTCGGCTCCCATCACCACTTTCGCCACACTGCCTCCAAATTCGGTAAAACCCGCCCCCTCAAAAGACCACTTATCCATCTGATCTCCGACTCGATGTCGGAAGACGACGTCCACGTCGGTCAAGTTCAGAAGATTRGGAATTGCTTCAAATTCTTGTTTGACGCGTGAGTGCACGTAAAACGTTTCTTGGTAGATATTGTAAGTGAACTTGTGGATGTTAATCTTCTCAAGGTTGGGGAAACCGCTGGGAAGGACGGATACTTCAGTCGAAGGTGACAAAGCCTTCAAAGTCTGTGCAACGCTGACATCTTCGTGTCTACCCGTTATAAACGTTATCATTGGAGGATTAATCTCCACGGCAACGCGTACTGGTTTGTCATTGCTTGAACCAAGTTGGATTGGAAGCAGAAGAGTCAAACCTTTTGAGATTTGGGAATCCAGCTCGTTTGCGAGTATCCCTCCACCAAATGACTTTAACGGGAGTTTATCAACGACGTCTGTTGAGGCCACAAAACCGAAGTCAGTTTTGGTGGTGCGAAAAAGTCTAGTCTGCGCAATGAGATGATTAACAAATGGGATTTTAAACAAATCATCGCTGACAAGCCTCAAGAGATCCATCGACGGTAAATCATTTTGAAACTCYAAAAGAATTGTGAAAACTTCTTTCTTTTTAGGCTGTCTTCTGACAAAGACTTTGCAATCTTTGGCGTTCGTTCCAGGAATGTAAGGTTTTCCAGATATCATGAACACRTAGTCTGAATCAYCTTTGAAAACCGAGTACATTTCTACCTCTTTCATGGTGAGATTCTTCAAGGTATCGAGACTCATCCCTGCGGATTCGATACTTTGACGTTTAGAAACGGAGGACGCGATTTGGTAGACGTTAACACTGTCCGCCGCTGCCACCAAAGTGTGATGATTACCGACTTTAGATTCCTCAATGCGCACTTCGGCTAACATGTCACCTTGCCGCCATTTTCCTAGAAAAGAAGAACAATAAAAATGACCTGGGGAAGGAACAGTGGAAAAGGAGGGAGTGGAATGGGATTGAAAAGCGGGATGATCCGTTCACTTATACCTCTATAAAAAGAAGATCATTAAAAGTTATATACACAGATAAGGTTCTAAACAGACCAAAAAGAAGGAACACTGTAAAAGATGGGAATGGAATAGGATTGGAAAGCGGGATGTTGACCTATACCTTTAGCGTTAAACGACCAATGTCCTCTTCTGGTTCCATTCTGGGTAAATACAAAGGTCATTGCAAGGTCTCTCACAGTCATTCCTTTGCCGAGTAGATCTACAGGGTCTTCAAGGGTTACTTTTGCAGTAACTTGACCATTTTTAATAATTGAATCAAAGGTCTCAGCTTTAAGGCTATCCAGCGTTGGGAAGCCGTCGGGCAAGACTGGTAATTGTCCATTTGGTGCGATTTGGAGAAGAAGCTGCTTTACTGACGGCGAATTGTCTGAAATAATGAGAAGAGACTTTGAAATGTTACCGTGTGACACTGAGGCTCAGTGAAGAGTCGAAGAAGAGCAAAAGCGAACGCACAAGCATGGGCTTATCCAGGATTTTCATTGGGATGGTCCTTACATACCAAATATTCACTGTGACGTCATATGACGTCAATATGATGTCACATCAATCTATGATTTTCGCACTTTTTTAGCACCTTGTGACCAAAAAAGTGCAACACAAAGGAATGACCAAAATTGGGACGACCTAGACCACACTTACAACACTTTTCGCAGCTGGTTTTCAAGGGAGGGAGGTATACAAGCAAACCGGGAAAAAACCTCAYCAACAATGCACATGGTTTTGGAAAGGGAACCGGCACGCGAACGCAGACATGATAGCAAAATCAGCCATGCTCCTCAGAAAGCTTTCACTTAGAAACCATAATTCCAGTGAGACCAGTACTTATGATACTAAACAAAAACATGGCGTTACTTTAGTAGGTCTTTAAATTAATTTGTCAAACATTTGCAATTTACGTTCCCGGACGCTGAATCAACACGTGCGAAAGATGATCTTCTGACCCCTCAAGGAAACAATGGTATACCTGCCCTATACCCAGTCCTCACCGGTCATAATTGACACAGGTCAATGACAGCGACTGGTACCCAATTGAAATARTACTACATACAACTTGTGGCGCTTTTGTCGACGGCCGACACCCATAATAATAATAACTTTATAATCCATTACCAATCGAAATTGTACATTTAAATTCCAAGAAAATATATATTCATGTGGTTAATCTAAAGAAATAAAACAAGCTGGTTGAATCTATACCTTTGTAGATTTGATTGTAGGAATCGGAGTGTTTTCCTGATGTTGTAGCTAATGTAGCTGCCATCAAAACTAAAACTAAGGTCTTCTCCATAGCTTTTCAGTCTTAACTAAATGCAGGACGATAAAATGCACTCATAAATCAAAAATAAACCACGAGAAATATCTAGAAATACAATAATAGTTATTTTTACTAATTCTGATGTTTGAGTAGTTATCGAACGTTTTAGTGACTTTTTAACCTAAGTGATGATGTCTTTGGAAGTATATCTCATATTTTACTCTTTCTTTTTTTAACATTCCCTCCCCTAATCCTTTATCAAGAATCTTTGAACAATGTTATTTGAAATGTCAAGAGCTTTGAAAGTAGCTACATGTACACCTTACATTCTTACCACAAAGTTTTGCCTATTTAAGGATTTTCAAGCGTGAAAAATCGGTTTGAAGTGGAATCTTGTTCACATGTAAGTCATCATCAAGCCCAGTTTTCCAAAGAAAACAGTTTTCTTTCCCGGTAAGGAAGTCTTTGAAGTAATAATGTAGTAGCCACTTTACTAGCTAGGATCCTTTGTAAAGTAATTGGCAAAGTCATTTATAATTCATCGAGGGCACTGGTCCTTCATGGTACTTGGATTTCAAGATCAGCCATAAACATCAGGAAGTTGTCAAAAACTTCGTTGTTTTGGTAAGAATTCAATCTTGCGATACTCTGACCTGACGACAGCTAACAATGAATAAAAACAACTTTGTCCGGTACAATAACATTATACATTACGATCACATCAAGAGTTTTTTTTTCCTTTTATGTTTATAAATGTCTTTTGACTTTTTTCGTGATGCTCGCCCAGGTTCTCTAAACTACTAAGGGACTTAAGCTGTTGAATTCGTTTTGAAAAGTGAAAAAAAAGCAAAAAAAAAAAACAACACACACACCACAACACAACACCAACAACATAAAACTTGTCTGTCAATCGGAAATATTCATATTATCAATTATTATTATAGAAATCTATAATCTCGCGTTAATTATTTTACTTTAATTATAGAGTAGCCTTTGCTTTAAGCTAAATGCAGAATGGGTACTGTCATGTTCACAACCGCTGGCTCTAATGCTCGAAGATGCGCTCGCTTTCAATCTCGAGACCGTGATTTTCTTGATCGAGAATAGACCTCTGTAGCTTTTACATGCATTGTAGGACAGTTTTGGGACAAAACATGGCGGTTTTCTTTTGTTTTCTCTTGAAACTGATCCCACAATGCATTGAAAATCAAGTAGTGAACGTAAAAGGTTCAGAAGTCTATTCGTCTGTGTTCGACGAYGCTGGTCAAGAAAATCGCAGTTTCGCCTCACTTTCAGAGGACTGGAACGACCATGACGAYAAACGCTGACCAGAACACAAATCATCAAATCTCGTACAATAAATTTTGTTTCAACTAGAACACTAGTCTTGTTTTAACAAATCAAATTAATATATTTTTCAAACGTATTCCTCTATTTTCCAAGAGCTTAAAAAACATTTTGCCATAGGCTTTCTATTTACACCTAAAAGGGTCTTGTTAAAGCAAAGCCTCCAATACTGCATATTAAAGTTTTAGGTGGTCAAACCGTTGCGCATTTTCAAAATAATAGCATAATACACAAAAAATTACTTTGACGTAGAAACGTCTGCAGAGTTCTCAGGGGCTTTCAACTTTAATTTTCTTGACAATTACCCAACTACGCCATCAAAAATCCCCTCGGAAATATCTTAATTGAAAAAAATATTATTAACATTGAAATACGGCATATAGAAGTCAAAAAATAACCCGAGAGATAAGTGTGGATATTATTTCATCGTGTGTGGTAAAAAAGAACTCAAACTCCATTAAAATTGATGGAATTTAGTAAAATGCACGACAAATACTGATGAATATTTTTATTTTTAGTAGTATTATATCTATTTCCCTSTTGTCGGAAAAACTAATATAACTAGGCTACGTCGATGTTTTTAGTAAAAAAGTTGTAATAAAAAATAGGTTTATCCACTCGTTGAAAGAACATTTGCTTACGTGCTGGACGTTTGGGGACCTTTTCAAGGTTGGATGTTTAACATTTTCCGGAATTTTCGCGCTGTTTCGATATTTTTATCATTTTTGTGGCTGTTTATGCTTGACTGTGGGAAATCATCGATTTTGCAACGCGGTTTACGACTTCGGTATGAACTATTAAGAATATCGAAAACTAACGGTTATACTGAATCGGCGATTTTTGGCGGCGGTTGTCGGAAAGAGCGGGGGAAAAATCAGCCCCTTTGTGGTTTGGCAGCCCCCTATTCTAGGCCCCTGACCACCTTTAGACAAGTATATTGACGATGAACAGCTTACGAAGGTACAAGATAAAAAAAACCCTGTAACATTTTTGCAGCTTCAGCAATTTTCTTCTCTTTTTAATGCTAACAGTTTATTCGCTAGAACTTTCCGACTGATTCACAGGCCGACTGTTTACAAGCTCAAACTTGATAGCATATAATTATATGCGAAAAACTCATTAATATTTTACTTAGAGAGTATTAAATACCGAGTATTCAAGCGAAAGATCGTTAAATGAAGGTTAATGGACAGTACAATTATGTGTCATTCAMAGCGTCTATACCGTGGGTTGGGCTTAGAGCAGGCGGAATGAATCGATAATAGGAGTCTCTTGTGATAAACAATTTCTTTTACGATTGAATAATGTTTAATGTTTCGCATCTTGTCCGATAAAACTACTAATTTCCATCCCATGGCGCGTTTTACCGCTTTTCTAAGCAAAATTATGATTCTATAGGACGTTATATGCTTAGACATAATCTATCAAATTTTAATTGAAAGCCGTTTTCTTCGGAAGTTCCGTTTGAGTTCTTGTGCWCTTGGAAAAGAAGACAGTACTTAAACTGAATAATGTAAAAAAAGGAAAAAAAATACAGACTTATTGAGCCTACTTTGGCCTTTTGAAGACTTGGTTTTTGAAGCTTTAATAACAAAAACACGTCTGTGAAAGAGGAAAGAATTTATTAGTGGAAGTTTCATAATATTGTCTACATACAATTTATTTGAAATCATATCTATATGCAATATACCATATGCAGATAATTTCTGTCAAATATATTTAAATATCTCAAAATTGAAAGTTCAATATTTACAAATATAAGGTATTTCATGATGATAAATATGTTAAAAGTCTAGTATTATTTGAATAAAGTACTTTCATAACAGCGTCCTACTTTATTGCATTAAACTAAAGCTCACATTTGATTGGCTTATGTGTGATAGAAACCTTTTAAGTGTTTCGCGCCGAAAATACGCGCGCGCGTCAAAGCCGTCCGTTWTTTTTTCTTAATGGAAAATAAAAAGCAAAATAAAAACAAAAGTAAAGACCAAAACATAAGCACAAAGCTACATAAAAAATCTTAATAAACAAAACGCCAAAAGAAAACAAAATTCGGTCCTAAAATTTCTTATAGAAAAAAAAAGCATCTGGTTTAGAACGCTTTGTCTCTCAGATTTTCGTTATAAATTCACTTCCGACGCGAGCATAATTACACTTTATACAGAAGAAGAAATMATTTTCCTCTAAATAAATTAAAGCATAACAAAATCAACAAATCTTTGAGTCGCTAAGTAAAATTCAAGCGATGTGTATTCATTATCGCAGTTCTAGACAGCTTAATTACCAAATATTTACAACATCCTTTCAAACATTGCAAATTATATATCCTAGAACAAAAATAACCGACCATTATTAGACTATCGGACGTTAMATATAAAAGAGATTACGTTGTGTTTAAAAAATGYCTTGAAAATGTTTCAAATTACTTCRATAATTTGCATTCATTCTTCTAGTTATAAGAATGGAAATATCTGCTCCTTCAAGACAAATAAAAATTATAGATTCGTTAATAATAAATTCTAAGCTACCCCATAAAGCGATCCTTTGAGCTCTTGGTGATAGTGTTCCTTTGAGCCCATAACACATCCCATTTCAGCCTTTAAATACAATAAAAAGTCCAACAAAGATAATGTCCCATAAAGAGATAGTCACATAAATATAGCGTCCCATAAAGAGATAGTCCCATAAATATAGCGTCCCATAGAGAGATAGTCCCATAAATATAGCGTCCCATAAAGAGATAGTCCTATAACGATGACGGACGGTCCTTTTCAGTCTGTTATTGTTCTTTATGATATTTGTACCAACGAACACCTCCATGGTCCTCGACGAACCTACAGTACGAGTCACTCTTCCATAGGGCCTTCCAGACCGGGGTGTCATCATAATTATAGTACTTGCCAAGGATTGGTTTAATATATCGTGTAGCTTCTTTAAGATGGTAGTGAGGCATATACGAGAATAAATGATGTGCCACGTGTGCGTCAGTGAGATTATGRAACACATAGTTCAATATACCATAGTCCCTATCCATAGTACACAGGGCACCTTTTAGCCAGGTCCATTCTTCATCGTCATAATGAGGTACCTTTATGTCGGTGTGTTGGAGGTACGTTACAATAACGAGCCACATATTTACATTAAGGTAAGGAACACCATATAGAAAAACGACCCACAAAGGACCATATACAGATGCTAAGTAACCCAAGATCCCAATCCAAAGTAAAATTCCTATATCGCTGATAACGACGTCTAGGTACTCCTTACTACTAAATAACGGACCTTTYGGGATAAAATGGTCAACGTGCTTTTCATACTTACGGCCCCGCGCGTGAAACATAAGGTACGCTGGGAATCCAACTGTCAGATAGCGAAATGTGTGGCCAAATCTTCGAATAAAACTAGGGAATTCGATATTATTCTCTGCCTCTAGCTCGCTTCTGGTCATGGGAACAAAAGCTTCGTCTCCTTCCATACGATTGGTGTTYTTGTGGTGYTTTGAGTGGCTGATTCTCCAGGAATGGTATGGTACTAAAAGGAAGGTATGTAGCACTAGTCCAAGCCAATCACATATGGTTTTATTGTCACAGTAGGAGTAATGTCCGCACTCGTGTGCAATAATCCAAACACTGAATGACACACAGCCTTGACATAACCAATATACAGGCCAAAAAATAACCTTAATAGTCCAGGGTAGACTTGAGTTGTAGACTAATAAACCCAGGTACAACAGACCGAAAACTAACACTAGGTCAACGATCAGATAAAAAGTGGATTTCACAAGCGATTTCTCAAAACAGTGAGCCGGGATAGCATCTTTTATATCTTTAAGTTTAAATGGAGGGTCTTCAACCAGGGCCTTTTCCTTCCCATCCAGGATAGTTTTCGCATCGAGCAAAGGATCGCTGTGTGAAATATTCCGCTTTTTCGGAGTCATAGCGAATCGTGARATGTCAGCAGAGGAGCATACAGAGACTGACACAGAAGAAACAGTGTCACTAGTAGATAAGGACTCATGAATATTAATCATTTTAATTCGTGCATGAAATATTATGTTGATTACAATTAAGYGACTCGAGGCCTCAATCCTCCCACACAGCGGTCTTGACATCAATATGATTGTCTTGTTCACGAATGAACACACGCGATAATCAAAGCCGGGTCATGATTGGGTAATATMGATGAAATCAGAGCTGTGATTGGCTGATTTATCTSACGACACCTGCGGTACGATCCAATCAATAATTAACTGACAATAGACAGGTGAAGTAAGGTTGCTGTTGAGAGAAAATCAATCTTTTATTGGACGGAAACCGATGTTTTAATTTCCAGAGCAAAAACAAACTCAAATACTTGGAATTATCAAACCTAGACGTGATTTATGGACAAATTTACGAGGATGATGTTACCACAATAAAGGCAAAGTCATGGAATGAAACTTTTAAGCGTTTATAGCGCTAAAAACAAATCTGTTTTAGAAAAAAATTTGTTCTCATTTTCAACTAATGAAATAACTACATTACAAAGAAGAGACGAATGACAATCCCTTGAGAACAAGCAAATACTCAGACAGGATTTTCGAATGGATTCTCATGTGTTAAATGAAAGCACTTACAATTCCGACAGGAAACATTCAAGTAAACCGGCGTTCATTTCAGTCACAAGAGGATACAATTTTTATATGCTAATTCGCTGAGAGAATTTTAAGCAACTTTGCCATCTGCGAGACATTGTATTAYGAAAGAAATAGTCGCGGAGCCCCGCATAGCCTTTCATTTTCTTTTGTTGCTATGTCGACATAAATCTCGACTTTTCTCTTATGTTAGCAATTATGTCGACATGAATATTGCTGGTATCTCGACCAGAACATCCAACGTCATTTCCGGAAAGTTATACGCATGGCTTTGAGCAGAAATATACATTTCCAAGATGGAGGCAGGAAGTAGTGAGAGAAGAAACAATATTGTAAAACATTACTTCAGTCTCGGTTACTTAAGCACAAATAAATTCTCTCTATATATGCCTTTTGCATATTCACGACGTTAGCCTTGGCCCAACTCCACATATACTTCGATATATAAAAAACTGAAAAGCTCTGACCCTCTGGTGACTCCTTAAATAATCCATTTTGTCCCTCTCTTGTATTTTGAATCTAAATCAAGAGGCTGTTAATTAACCAAAGACAATAAAAAGCTGCTTATTTGAATATGTTTTCAAATCTTTCCAGATCGTCATTAGTGTTATTATTTGATTGTGACTACCGCCGCACCGTTCCCACACGCGGTTCAGCTCCTATCACACAAAGCCTGGAAATACAATGCGTGGAAGTGACATGCCATTCTGATAAGCTTTCAAAGAGCTCCGGTCTTGCTTTTCAAATAAAAAACATCAATTACTTAACGTCGACATTAGCGTTTTTTATGCGTTTTAAACCGTCACAAACCCGCCCATTGATCAATATCMTATGGACGTGAGATACTGGACTTGAGCTCAAAAATAGAAATGACGTCCGTGTTTTCAAAATGCTCCATTTTAGAGCTCAAATTTACCTACAATTTTGAGAATGTTTTTGAAATGAACTATTCTTGACTGTTTTTGAAAGTCAATTGTGTCTAAAGGACAAAACCTCTGCGCATTAGTTTGTTTTGAGCGGATTACTGGAAAGAATATCCTCATTTGCRGTAATCTTCTCATTCAAAATGTTCTAAAAAAGAAATCTCTTTTTGCMTTACCAAGTTATTGTATTTTGCCATTAACATATCAATAATTTAGTCAAAACACGAATMAGACTTCTTTCAGCTGCCATGACAAGTACGATTTCATTTCGGCGGAAAATTTTGWCAACTCAGAACTCGAGACAATACAGAAAATATTATTAAAAATTCATGAGATTTGAAAGCAAAAGAGAATTCAATGCCAAAATACTCCAATTTCGAGTTCTGGTTTGCTGTGTTAGCCTCAAAACCAAGTAACATATTCTTTTGTTTCATTGATAGCCCGAGAAAACGCATGGAATTCGAAAAGAAAGACAATGGAATTGATTTGAAATCTCACACTTTTATTCTCACAATTAGGAATATTTTGCGCACAAATGAGGCTAACACAGAGCATTGGAGAATTCGAAACTGGATTATTCATTTACAGAATAGAAAAAGGAGTTCTAAACTAATTTAGGATTGCCGGTGATTTTGTAAAGTAAAAAAGAATCCAATTACAAAATTCGCCATTTTAAAACAGCAAAACAATTTAACTTGAAGCAATTATGATGAAAAAGCAAATAGACTTCAACTACTTTTAGTTTTAATAGTGATTTGAGTAAAAGGAAACAAGAAGTTGAAAATAAAGCGTTATCAACTGAATAAAATGTTAACGAGATATATCAAAACATTTAAAATCGTTTTTATTACAATAATTAAGAATTCTACTTTGCTATCGACATGTGTGGGAAAGTGCTACCTGTGGCTTAATGACATGACAGTGACTGACACCTTGTCAAGGAACATTGATGAACCGGGTCCCAAGGTGGAGACCTAACAAATGACCCAAACAAACCAACCTTGATGTCAATCGATAATTACTAAACCGCAGTTATATCATTTCTATTTCTGGYCCTAATTAACTCTAATCTATTAATGAACAAGTCTCGTTTTGGACTGAGCARGTGATTGAGTTTGATTCAGCCTCTCCACACAGGAAGCCCGACCATAAAATGGACTTTGGACGAGATTGACGAGAAAATTAGGTATATTTACACCAGTAAAAAGACCTTCCTCAAGGCAAGGAAYTTTTATCGTTCTTCATATTGTCACCAAGTTCGCAACGTTTACGGAGCCACTTAACAGGCCACCACTCGTTCACGGAAGTATATTTTTGTTGCGTTAACGCTATGAGCCTTACGACATCCGTACGTAAATAGACCAATCAATTTCTTGCGTACCTTGAACACGTGAATATTGTGTCAAATGTCACGCTGGGGCACAGTTTTCAATTGCGTTACATTTGTTAATTGCGTGACAAATGTTACGGTAAATCCATTGTGGATATATTTATAAATATGACCTTATTAGGAAGAGGCTTCCATTGGCATGTCAGTCTCTGTATCTCTACTCGTAGAATTGACAAGTTCACGACGAACCTCTGCTGTAACCTACAGTAAAAAAGAACCTTCTTTACGAGGAGGGACTAAAACACAAGTACTATTGTACAACAAGACAAAACGAGTGCAAGATGACAAAGTGACGGAATGATGCAGAGCATTGAAAGGTAAAGAAATGGGAAACGAAATGGATGAAACAGAACAATTGTAATTGTGGAAATGTGGTAAAAACGGGAGCAAAGTTGAAAAAAGATACAAAGAGAGATGACGATAGAGGAAGGGATGCAGAGGGACATGAAGGAACACGGGGTGACATGAAGGAACACGGAGGGACATGAAGGAACACGGGGGGACATGAAGGAACACGGAGGGACATTAAGGAACATGGGGGGACATGAGGGAACACAGAGGGACATGAAGGAACATGGAAAGAAAAGGAAAGAAAGGAACTACAAACCTGATTGTGTACATGCACTTTGCAGAGTTCCATCAATGAATCTTTCTGTTCGCTAGAGATATCTTCCTTATATCTGCACAAAACAAAATTACACGGATTTAGAAATACATTTTGAGTTTATTCTTAATCTAAACATTATTTAATGATCTAGAGAAGCTACAAGTTAGACTAGTTTACATAAATTGTACTTCCATTACAATATGGTTGTAAAACAGGAGAAAGAGAATGCTTTTCTACACTTACCTTTGTACAAAAGTCAATAGACATTGATGCCATAAAACTGGTAAAGTTCGTTTGTCAGACAAAAATCTAAACACAACAAGCACAGTTAGCCCAAGAAAGTTATCCTATCCTTGGCATTCTAAATTATTTTCTTTCCAATTCTCTTCTGCTTATTTTAAGACAATGTTTTGTATAATATGCTCTTAAACTCTTAAACTTCTCTTTTAACATGTGTGCACATGCTGTCTATATTGAGCTGAAGCATGGATACTGTTACCCACTACTTAAATACTACATGGAAATTATCTGCTGGACAAGAACCTATGCTATTCACTGCTTGTACGGCAGTCTCCAGTTCTTCTAGCATGTACATAACCTGTATACTTCCGTTTTGTTTTCAAAATTAACCGACGGTGTTTATGAGTTAACACTGGACGAAACTCAGGCTAGCATGTATACAAAGACTTACCTTAGGAAATGATAAACTACAGCATCAATTACACGATATGGCAAAGCATACTTTTTATCAAAGAATGTCTTCAAGAAAATGCTGTTGCCTCCTGCAATGCATACAAACAARTCACTTGATTGAACTGCTTAGCCTGCGTAGCCAGAYRKTCCWAGYYGCTCCRASATTYYCSRSYCMAA